CCTCGCTTGATGCGATGGTTATATTTGATCTCGTGTAGGATCTGCAGAACCTCGCTTGATGCGATGGTTATATTTGATCCCGTGTAGGATCTGCAGAACCTCGCTTGATGCGATGGTTATATTTGATCCCGTGTAGGATCTGCAGAACCTCGCTTGATGCGATGGTTATATTTGATCCCGTGTAGGATTTGCAGAACCTCGCTTGATGCGATGGTTATATTTGATCCCGTGTAGGATCTGCAGAACCTCGCTTGATGCGATGGTTATATTTGATCCCGTGTAGGATCTGCAGAACCTCGCTTGATACGATGGTTATATTTGATCCCGTGTAGGATCTGCAGAATCTCGCTTGATGCGATGGTTATATTTGATCCCGTGTAGGATCTGCAGAACCTCGCTTGATGCGATGGTTATATTTGATCCCGTGTAGGATCTGCAGAACCTCGCTTGATGCGATGGTTATATTTGATCCCGTGTAGGATCTGCAGAACCTCGCTTGATGCGATGGTTATATTTGATCCCGTGTAGGATTTGCAGAACCTCGCTTGATGCGATGGTTATATTTGATCCCGTGTAGGATTTGCAGAACCTCGCTTGATGTGATGGTTATATTTGATCCCGTGTAGGATCTGCAGAACCTCGCTTGATGCGATGGTTATATTTGATCCCGTGTAGGATCTGCAGAACCTCGCTTGATGCGATGGTTATATTTGATCCCGTGTAGGATCTGCAGAACCTCGCTTGATGCGATGGTTATATTTGATCCCGTGTAGGATCTGCAGAACCTCGCTTGATGCGATGGTTATATTTGATCCCGTGTAGGATCTGCAGAACCTCGCTTGATGCAATGGTTATATTTGATTCCTAGGAAAATATGATGAGTTATAGTGTAACCGCATAAGTGCGAGAGGAGTGAATTCTAAGAGAATCTGACGGATGAATGAGTCGGTACCGTGGTTGTAGCTGCATAGGATCGAGGTGTCGGTCTCTATGAGTGCATTATCATCTCCATATGATGAATTGGAAATATTACATTGAGAAGGTATTAGGGTATGTATATATATATATATATATATATATATATATATATATATATATATATATATATATATATATATATATATATATATATTGCGTCTAGTCAATATGAGAATGAGGTCGATGTATATGTAGAGAGATTCTACTCACTAGGGTAGAACGGCGATGCGTCGTTCTTAGTGAGGTAGTTACCGGGGTAGAATGGCCGAGACGTTGTTCCCGGTAGAGCATAAGCGACGTACCCATAGTCCGGAAAAAGGATTGAGGGTAGTGATGAGTCTAATATGAATCGCATGGTATGATCGCGATTGTCATATGTAAATATGCCTATGTGCAGGAATTGATGAGATGCGTTAACAAATAAATAAATGTGAAAGATATTAATCGATGAATAGACGGTTGAGTGTGAGCGATTATGTCTATGCGAATTTGATGCGGTGAGAATCTATGGTTATGCATTGTAGTGAATAAGTATGAGGTATAGGCATTTAGTACTTATACATTTATATATATATATATATATATATATATATATATATATATATATATATATATATATATATATATATATATATATATATATATATATATATATATATATATATATATATATATATATATATATATATATATATATATATATATATATATATATATATATATATATATATATATATATATATATATATATATATATATATATATATATATATATCTTATGCCTTGATTATTATGATATGTTTCTCACCCTTCTGTTGTTTTATAATGCCCTACGAGGCATTGCAGATTAGGATCCGCTAGAGGTTTCCTTTGGAGTATAGTTCTTTTCCCTCGTGTCGGTCGCTCTGATATGTAACTTTGGGTAGATAGGCTTGTAGAATGTCTTTTGATGTTTTGTTTGTATGTGAATGAAGTTGTGAACAACCAAATGACATGTAATTACGTTGTCATGTCTTAAGTGAATATATATATGTTTTAGTCTTCCGCTTTAAGAGAAAACATGAATATGTAATTTCGAAGAATCATGCGTTTATTTTTAGTTGAGATTTACCCCTTTTGAGTTAATTCTTTTTAAACCTTAATATTCATGTGGTCGTTTCGTGGGTATTGTGACGCACTTCTTTTATACCTTAATGTAAATATACTCTGATGAAAAATAAAATACTTATATTCGTAACTATATGATTTGATATGTGATTATTTTGGGGTATAGAATGGGGGTGTTACACAAGGCGCCTTTAAAATAGCTTGGGCCTTAAGTTTTCACATTTCTAATCGATTGGGAAAATGTTCTAACCGATTAGAAAGGTCAAAAATCTGCCTATAACTATTTTGTCTGCTCCCAATTTATCTGACACAACCTCTGGATTTTTTTTAAAATATTTTCTTCTGGTAAATCATTTTGAAAATGGTTTTGTGTGTGTGCACTTTAGCATTGTTCTTTTATGATAAATTTCTTTTTCCTTACAATCGTTCACTCATTATTAAAATATGAAATCACAATTACTAAGTTAGATCACCATATTGCTTTAAGACTTTGTTGGATACTTCTCTTAATATTGCACATGCTTTAGTGGCTTTGAGATTTAGTTGCATTCTTTGTTTGCCATCATCGGATAGTCAAGTTTATCAAACCATAAAGATAAGGTTTGCATCTTTATCCATCTAATTATTCATGCTTGACTTATCATTAGTTGTCATCATCAAAAGTTCATGTCCTTGTTAAAAGCATATCACGTACAAAACAAGGTTCCACGACGTTATCAATCATGAATGTTACAACATCACCCTCTTCGTTGCCTAGCTCCTGCAATAAATTCATTAACCACACAGCTTGGCACGCATACAACGAAGCGGCAATGTACTCGGTCTCACAAAAAGAGAGTGTCACTACCGATTCATTCTTCAAACACCATGAGATTGATGTTTCACCAAACATAAAGATGTTTCCAGTTGTAGACTTTCTATCACCTTTATCTACAAGCTAATTGGAATCAATAAAATCGAGAAAATTACATTTTCTTCCCGTGTGCATTGCGTGAAAAGGAATTCTTCGGCCAATACATCCTTTGATGTATCTTAGAATCCTCTTGACGACTACCAAGTGAGACGCCTTTGGTCTCTCCATGAATCTACTTACAATACCGACACTAAACGCCAAATTTGATCGCATATTGCACAAGTCACGCAAGGGTCCAATCAGCCTCCTATACTGAGTTAGATTGACATTTCGCTCATCCTCATTCTTTGATAATTGTAGCCTCGGTGCAGTCGGAGCAACTGCCTCATTACAATGCTTCATTTCAAACTTCTTCAAAATCTCAATACCAAGGAAATATGGCATGAGGCCAAGGTCAATCATATCAAACTCTTTCGTAAGCTCACTCTTGAACCTAGAAACACATTCTTCGTCACTGTCTGTAATCAACAAATCGTTTACATATAGACAAAGGATTATCACTCTTTCATTTCACATACACACCATGTTCAAATACACACTTCTTGAATCCAATCTTCTTTAAGAAACCATTTATCCTCTTGTTGCAAGCTTTTGGAGCTTGTTTTAAATTGTACAACGCTTTCTTCAATTTGTAGAACTTTGACTATTGGTTTTTCACAACAAAACCAGGGAGTTGTTCTACATAAACCTCTTATCCAGACGATCCATTCAAAAACGCATATTTAACATCCATTTGGTAGATGGACCAATTGTTGTTATTTGCAATACCAACAACTAATATTTAACATCCATTTAGATCAACAAATGGTCTAGTTGAAATGGATGTGATGATTCAAAGATCAGCCGAAGATATTAGAAGGATGTTGTAACGTCCTGAACCACCTATTTTTAATGACATGTGATGTGAAATTTATGTAATGTTTATTTTGATGTTAATTTATGTTTTTTTTTCCATTATGTTTGTTTCTGATTTGAAATAACAGAGCATATTCTAGAGATATATCTTCGAAAACTCACCAAATAATGAACTAAGAAGGTTTTCGGAGATGCATCTCTAAAATAACCTTTTGTGCATACACATATGTATCTTGGACCAAATTTTAATAAAATAAAGGTTTCTCACCATTTTCATCTCAATTCTGTGCGAAAAAGATGTACAAACTATAGAAACATTTGAGTCATCCATATGGTGGTAGATAACACATAAAGCTGAAAAGTGTAACCTTCCATTTCAATTGCTTAAATTCATAATTTCATAATTCTATTTTTTATTTTTGAAAATGTTTTTTTCAGGAAAAATATTTTTTTTACTTTTTGGAAAAAAAATTTCATTTACAAATTTTTGTTATTTCCGAAAAAATACATATTTTTATTATCAGAATTTTTTTTCAAAAAATAATTTTTATTTTCAAAATTTTATATATACAATTAAACCGGTTTAAAAAATAAAACTGTATCTGAATCAATTTTAAATTAAATTAAAATTATTTAAATTAAATAGTTCAATTCATTACTATTTAAATGATTCAGTTTTTTTCCAACAATGCAATTTAATTTGGTTAATCATATTTTTGCACACCCCTAACTAAAATAGTATAATTAACATTATATCGAAATAGCATTTAATCAGACAACAAATTAAATGACAAAACATAATAAGTCTTTAACCTGTATAAATTTTTAACGGACTATTGTAGCCAGACTTTCTTTTTGGTTTCAAGATGTATTTGCTCAATACCTTTGAAGTTAGGATTTTGACAATAGTGTTATACTATAATAATTGTCGTATGGTCTTCACGTTTTCAATGGACAAAATTTCTGTGTATAGTGTGATGTTTGATGTGGTGCATATGATGTTATCGTTCAGTATAAAATGGACGGTTGAATTGCATTGCCAGCCAAGCTAGATGGGATATCAAATGTTTCAATTTGCCTAAAAATTTACAACTAATCATCACTTTAAATATCTACAATAACAAAAAAAAATGCATCATTATGGTCTTCACTCTACCACATAGTCTGGATTATTCTTCAAAATTACGAAACCTTCAAGAATTGGTGATAGAGGTATATATCTGCATAAAAAGCAACTGTTAGTATTAGAAAGACAGACTTTTATAAAATTTCAAGGCATTGATGTATTACTTTTCTGTAGCTAGCTCTGCCATATCCCCAACAGCCAGGAGGACAGGGGTGGAGTGGGTCTGAAAACCAGTGATTATCTTGGGACGACCAGCCTGTCCAACACCCACTGCTTGACCAACTCGAACAGGCACTGACAGAAGCTTCAAGTTCTCGTCCACAGTCATCAACATCCTCGGCTATTGCAACAAAATGTTATTAAGGTTGTCTTAAAATGTAGGAGGGGGATAAGGAGTGAATCACTGAACAAACCTGCATTGCTAAAACAAGGAAGTAGAGAACATAGTGATAATTTCTAAAGAATGCAGTTTTCATATTGAGGCATGCATACAACATAATAACTAGACCTGCAAGTGCTGTCCTGTAAAAATGAAAGTAAGATATTGTCCATTAGAGATTATTATAGTAAAGCAGTACATTTCATTCTAAGCACTTTTTCAGTTGGCTTGCAATCCTCCAACACAACATTTAATCAAAGACAAAGGGAGAAGGGAAAATAAGGATTCATTTACGGTGATAGTAAAAAGCGATCAGAATGATACGGATTAAGTGTTAATAAGCCCTTTCCCATATGTACAAGACCTTGGGCAATCCGCACCTGTAGAGACGAAAATCAACGGCTATCCAAATATCCAAAATTAGAAAATATGGACAACTAGATGAAGCATACACAAAATAGAAGGTTGGTATTGTTGCAGTAATATCTTGAAAGATTGCGAAGAATGCCAGCAATTCGAGCATTGTTGGTCCCAGCACCTATTAGACCTAAGGAGATAACTGCTGCCTGTAGCATACAAAATGCTTTTATACTTACAAATAAGAATCAGGGGAAAGACCAATAATGAATGAAGTGGTTAAACCATCTTACCATTGCTACTTCTAAATCAGAGTCATGGCTTAGTCTGCTTAAGGTTTCCATAACATTGACCTATGATGATCGAGTTAAGGGTTAGCAAAAGTAACCAGATGAAATGCTGTCCATGCATACAACACATGTTTACTTTGACCATCTATTGGGAGCACGGTCATAAGCTGTTTTACTGTTAAATAATAGCATTACCAAGGTGATAAAGTAAAGTGATGCCAATCCACTTTACCTTTGGATTTGATATACACAGTAGAGCAAGTGCCAGAGGAACTGCTCGGCGAATATTCTGCTCTCCATTCTGTAGAAGATGTTCCAATGATCGAATTGCCATCTCAAGACCTAATTCTTCAGCCATTGCTACCATAGCAATTCCAAGCACTGCAGGAGGACCCTGGTCCACTTCGTCTTCTTCAAGATGTTGTTGTGAACATTGACCCAAAAGATATTCTACCTGCATGAAAGAAGCACCAGAATCTATAAGCACAAAAATGCATTAGAATTTTCCTCAAAAAAATGCTGGTTATCCATAATAAGATTGTACCATGTGAACATTCCCAGTTCCAGCATATGCACAGGATAGCAGTGTCGTGTCCCAATACTTTCTCATTTTTACACCAAGAGTCTTTGAAAGTTCAGCAGTTGCCTCCACACTTTCCTATTGTTACAAAGCACAGTATGAAAATTGAATGCTATCCCAGAGGGACTTTAACCTAACCTAATAGTTCTTATAAAAAAACCTAACTTAATAGCGAAACCCCTCCTAACAATCAAATGTTTTCAGAAATTAAATAAGATAGATTATGAATCCTTTGGCAAATGTAAGATAAAGCTACCTACAATAAACTCCGTCCCTTCTCTAGATTATGAATCCTTTGATGAACCAGATTGCCCATTACAATAATTTGAAAAGACAGAGGAAGAAAGAAACAACTGACACTGCCCAACATCTAATAACCTTTTTTCCAAGATAAAGAAGACCAAGGCCAAGAGGTAAAAGTCTTGTAAGCGGCTGTTCCAACTCTGCTTCAATACGGGCCATAAGTACAGATATGAGTGTTTTAGCAACTTCCTCATTGCAAGAACCCACATAAATCAAGCCCAATGAAATTGTAGTGAAAGCAGTCACAGGAATTGAATTTCTTCATCAATGAGAATAGCTGTCAATAGTGTCGTAGCTGAAGAAGCAAGAATTAAGCAAAATATTTACATTTGCAAGTGATACCCACATGTATTTCAACCAAGCAGTATAAATGAACAAGATTTGTAAGAAATGTAGATAAACAGATCACCTGCTCATTTTTGGAACCTGCATATGCTATTCCCAATCCATAATTGCACCAATCCTGACCGAGGAGCATTTTTCTTTAACTGTGTGGTCTACTAGGATTTTGATAGCCTGAAATCGAATCAAATTTCGTTTAATACAGGAACTAAAAAATGCTTATCATACTACACACAAAAAAAAAAGTATAAATAGAACTAACCGGGTCACAGTCATTTTTTATGTTACAATTGACAATACCGACTCCCAATAATGCACCAGGAAAGCTATATACATCCTCAATGTGAAAGCACCGGTCAAGGCGTGCCAGTCCAGTGTCAACATTCCAGAGTGAAACCATACCCTGATATATCACATGGATAATATAAGTATTCCAAATGGAATTTATATGCTCCATAACTAGTAATGAAGACTGTGAGAAAATTAATTTAGACCAGGCTTGCTACAGCACTAGTCCTCCCGTGTTCCTCGTGTATGAAAAGCCAATCTTCAAAAGAAGCAGGCCTTGGAGAATCTGATGTAAGACTCATCATATACTTGGCCTGCACAGCAATAATGGAAAAGGAAGTACAGAGTAGAAGAAATACAAGAGATTAGCAACCCACAACACAATCTTGAAATTTGAGGTTCATTGTACCTGACAAAAGCCAGCATTTACAAATGCAGTAACAAAAGTAGCAGCAAGATTCTGCCAAGCTAAATCAACTTTTGCACTAGTACTTGTGTGTCTGTCAAGCAAGTGAGGCTGGAAAAATCAAGCAAATTAAAACATAAGGTTCAAATCAAATAAAAAATCGACCCTTGAACCGAAAATAGCATATAGCATAGCTAGAACTATTTTCTGATAACTTGCAACATGAACACAATCACAGATTCAAATGTCAGCCTAAACAGACTTCTTGCAGCAGGCAGCATACATCTGTCTGATTAGTAATACAACTGCAGGCATTATAAAGCAATATTATAAGAAGCATCATCTTTAAAAAGACGGAAACATTGAAAGTTACAGCTGCTGTTTGGTTTCCGTATAGAAAATAAGAGTAAGAAAAGTCGAAGAAGTGATAGGGAGTAGCAAATGAGAAGATTTGTAGGTAGTTTGGTAGAAGAGAAAACAAGAGGAAGAAAGTTTTAAATAAAATAAATTTCTCTAGTTCAGTTGTGTACAAAGTATAAGGAAAGAAAGTTGAGTGAAAAACAAAATGACACAAATACTCTTTAATAGTGAGGTACAACAAAAAAAATTGGATAAAATTGAAAAAGGGATCAAATTTAATTTGTTTTGTTCTCGTTCTCTTCCCATTTTGGAGAGAAGGTTTTCTAAAACCAAACAAATGAAGACTTTTTGGTTCCTTGTGTTTCGTTCCTTTTTCTCTTCATTTCTCTTTTCCAAACAAGACGCGTGTTCCACCAAGGAAAGAAAAACAATAA